GTCAACAGATTTGTGTAAAAGATAGGCTTTTTAAAGCACTAGTTTTTGACCGTTTTTGCAAGACAAACAAAATTGGTTGACATTCATAAGCATGACAGACATGTTCTCATAGGTGTACTCAAGGTTCGCCCACCGGCCGTTTCCTGGCAAGCCAGCAGTAACCCCACCCCATTCAGTCCAATTCAAGAAAATATATGATTGTGCAAGTGAGCTAGAGTGAACGATATTATTGGGGTAACCTTGGGTCCATATTAGTTTAATTTTTATGTGAACAAATAAAAAACTTTAATTTTGTAAAACTTTTATTAGTAACCAATTCCCCGTGACCTCCTGCAACTTATTGCAACATACCACTGTGTTGTAGCAAACAGTTAAGCAGCAATGTTGTGAAGGACTGCTGTGGTAGCTGGTAGGAACTGCCTGTCATATTATTTGGAGGATAAGCAGCTTTTCTCTATCCCCACCTCAGAAAGAGCTTAAAGTCTGGAGGAAAAGAATTTCATTTCACTATAAGGCAGGATTTCTTATCAACAACAACAATAATAACTACTACTATTTATTGAGTGCCAACTCTTTCTAAGAACTATGTGATGGGCATATAGAGCGAATACATATATAAAATGCTCATACAGATATCATATATATGGTACGCATTTATGTATCACATCCTTGAATCTTCAGGTATGAAACTGAGGCTCAGAGAGGTTAAGTAATTTGCCTGGCCTTAAGAACCATCAAACGTTGGCATTGGTCATTTTAGGGTTAAAATTCTAACCAGAATTTTGTGAAACTGAGATCAGTGGCCTAGAAGGTTGATGGTTATTTTTAGTTATAAACTAAGCGGATAACTCCCAGAAAGAGATAGTGACATCAATTCCTGAGTAGTGTGTTAAGTTTAAACAAACTACTTAGGGGATGTCTTTTGAGCCCCGGTTAGTGATTGCTTAACAAGAGTGCAATGATGATGATGACAATGATGACAGTAACAATAAATAGTGATGCCTACCGCATAGGGTATTGGAGGAGTGAGATATAATGCATGACACATTATTGGCACAAATACATGTAGATGTTATTATAAATTAGATTATCATTGAGAGATCACTACTCACAGAATGAAGTACTGCCTCTCATACAATTTTTATTTTATTTTTTTAATTGTTTGGGAGAATGGGCACTGTTCTCTGGACCATGACATCTCCTAAGATACGTCCTGAGGAATAAATGTCATCTTAAGAATGCTAGTGCCCAAGTTCTTGTTCCTTTTATAATTAAAAATTCAAAGCAAACTTTTTATAGAAGTGCAGTGCTAAATGACAGCCTAGCCCCAAGGACCACTTGGTTAATTAGCACCCTTGCATTCCAGGATTTCCTGACGCCCGCTGCCACTTGTTGTCAGCTCCTTGAAACTGCAGAAATTTGCCTCTGCAGGTGTGGAGAGCCTGCTTGAATTACATAGGGTGCATGAGAGAGCAAATTATTTAGGCAATAGAGCTGAAAATGTGGGCAAATTAGAATTTTTCATAGCAAGATTGTTCATTGTGAAGCCAATTCATGATTATATTGCGTATCTTGCTCCAGATATTCCACTACACAATAAACTTCTTTGCTGGGATGAATATGTATGTGGGCTAATTTAATCAATATACTTGTGAACGTTGACAGTAGTGCTGTCTGACAGAACTCATCCTTTGAAATGCTGGCTGAGTTAATGTGTGCAGTATATATATGGGCCAAGATTCATAATTTGTGTTAAAAGAAGGTTTTGAGAAGACACCACACTACCTGGTGGGAAACCAAAAAGCCTACATGATGAAAGGCAAAGGGCAGAGGGATTTTTGTCTTCCTCCTTCTTGTTGGACTGAAAACTCAAATTCACAAAACTAAACTGCCTCCTTTTGAAAAATTTGCAAGGCACTGACTGCATTTTTTTCTCATGGATTAATTTGAATTCTGGAAATTGACTAAAATGGGGGATGGAGAGGGCTTTTGTGCATTGTTGGATTAAATGAAGGGCTGAGCAAGTGCCCTGCTCCCATCTGCAAATGCTCGCTTTCTGGGAATTTCAACACGTGTGATCAGATCACATTCAGAGGGTTTGCTTTTGGAGTAGGGGGATTTTAGTCATTTCCTAAAGAGCATTTGCAACTGAAATTGTCATCTGAGATAAGAGAGCCATGCAGGAGGGAGCCTAGGAGACTAGGTTAACCAATCAGAATACCTCAACTTGCTATCCAGAAACCCTTCTACCACCTTACTGTGAGATTCCCAGTGAAGCTTGTTTCAGTTCATTCTGATTCTTTAGCCCACTGGAACTAAGCACAGACACCATGGGGACAAAGATCTAAGTGAATGCCCCCCCACCCCCCGCTGTTTGGAAATACCAGTCAATCTACAGTGAGTCCATTTATCCTAAGCTTCTTGGCCTCCACAGATCTCATGACTGTCTCCGCTCAAATATCCTCCAGATCTGAAAACCCCTGCAAGCTGAAGCCTGACTCAGGCCATCAGTCCTGTGTCACAGTGGCACCAAACTCTGGGGTCTGTAGTACAACTGCTCCCCACCCGCACCTACCGTCACAGCCACTGGGCCATGAGCCATTCCAAAGATGGAAGTGCTGGGGCCAGCATGGTACTCCCAAGGCCACTCCCATCATGAGCAGTCCTCCACACCAGACAGGCATCTTGGTCACAGCCTTAAACATCGTTACTTCACTTCTCAGTAGTAATCCACTGTGAGTCCAGGCCAACTGGACAGGAATACTGCATATCATTTTCAGTTTGTCCAGATGCAGTTCTACTCAGTGTTCTCAATATGCCCTGCCCAGGGCCTTCATATTCTTATAGAGGACTAAGTAGACATGCTTGATCTCCCCCATTGTTAAGATGGAATGAAGATAACTCTTAAAAGGCCCAAGTTTAGCATCAGGTAGTTTTGATGCTGACTTAAATGCTAGGACCTAAAGAGGTTTGTTCATCCCTAATTTCTGTCATTACACCTTGAGGTGAGACATGGGGAGAAGCAGATCCAAGTAGGTCTTCATTTCATGTATAAATTCTGTTTAATGGGTGGTTCAAGGACTTTATGTTGCCTAATTATTATATTCCTAAGAATCAAGGTAGGGAGGCTGGTTCTTATTCTAGCCTACTCAATTCATGTAGGGAAGAGCAGGCAATAACTCAGCTGATAACACCTTTCACGATTTCTCTACTTCCACTTGCCTTTTGTGCGTCTCTGCAAAATGTTAGGCATAAGTCGCTTTCTCTAGAGTTGCAGATCTGTGGCACAAACCTTTGCCTTGACTATATTAAACATATCGGAGGGACTGTGAAGTATGAGACATTATTAGATTTCATATTTCATAAAGAATTTTTCTTGAAGAAATCAAGCCAAGTGTTAACATGTGGCACACTTGCAAATGACAATTTTTGTTGAATGCAACCTTAAACATATTAAGTTGCTTAACTCAAACTATACCTATTAGTGTCCACAGTCACCATTATTGGGGTACTAGAAAGCCTCCAGAGTATAGAAAATACACTGGATGTGAGATTTGGAACAATCTTTAAATTTGGACAGGAAAGAAACTCAGTATGCAAGCACTAAAAAAAAATGATGGATAGCTTTTAGAATAGCTTGCACTCCCTAAGTCACCACAGTACTTGTATTAGGCCCTGAGAAAGGGAGTTAGCAGTACACATGGTTTATAATGAGGTTAAATCCGATAGTTTCATGTGTGCTGTAAGTACTGAACACAACATCACCCCAAATCCAAAGTAAGTGGTTGTGGAATTATCCCAGGATATGGGATTACATTAGAAGAAAGAGTGGGCTGTGTGTCTCTGTGTGGTACTTACACTGTGTGACATATTCTTTGGACAAAGAAATTACTGTGTATAAGGTCTGGGGCTAGGTAAGGGCTGTATAAAAATGAAACCGACTTGGGCACTTGCAACTGTGTTTCTGTGTGTAACTCAGTAGATAATCTAACATGATACCCAGTAGTGAAAACCATAGAAAATGAATTTAGCGTCATGACACATTCCAGGTAAACTGGTGACTCTTCCCATTCTGTCTATACAGCTCAGCATTGGTCTTTATTTGACATCTAAATTCTATTTAATAGTTTATCTAAGGATTTTCTTTTGCCTAATTATTCCTTATTTTTTATCCTTAATTATGCTCTTTTTAACTTTGAGATATAATGTGTGTGCTCAGAAATGTGCTTTGCCTTATTTGAGAACTTTGGTGTGATACATTTTATTTGCTAGTCTTCTAGCATGAGGCATCTTTAAGTAATCAGTTGGGTAGACACACATGCCCTCTGTACCACGAACTAAATTTCCAACGTAAAGAACTCAGAAGCAATACATCCTATTTGTCAGGATTCATCATTATTAAATTCAAACAGGATATTAACTCTGTGGTTGAAAGGTTCTGATTGTACACAAATGGACTAATTTTTAACACATGGCAACTGCGTTAATTTTTTAAAAGATAAGTAAGGAATTCTTACCATCATATATAACTTACTAATATTTTGAATGGAATCATTTTCCTAACTAGAGCTGACTTTTTGGAGTGTATTTTTCTCTAGCAGTCAAGCTATAAAGCTCAGCCAAGACAGATTTATGACCTTTTAAAAATAATGATAGAAAATGAGATTGGAGGAAACATTTCAGTATCTGCTTTGCTCTGAGGCCTAAACTGCGAACTCTCCAGTTCTTGAAGGCTTTGAAATGCTGATTCCAGTCTTCTTGTGGGTTCTTAAACACCTTCTCAAATGACCCATTTTAATAACCCGAAAGCTATTATATAACGAGCAGCCATAATTTAGTCCAGGGCTCTAGGGGGACCCTCACAGTTCAGCAATGAATAGTTAATGCAGTATAATGTTTAGCAGGTTATTAGTTTTCACTATACAAATGCTGATCAGGGAACGCTTTTATAAGGTGTTTAAAAGAAAATGTAATTAACTGGTTGCGTGCTTCTGTTGCAGCTCAAATTGAAATTATTCCATGCAAGATCTGTGGAGACAAATCATCAGGAATCCATTATGGTGTCATTACATGTGAAGGCTGCAAGGTAAGCCTTTTTAATTGTTGTTGTTTCTATTAATGTTAAAGTGTATCTTCGTGATTTTTATGCCTCCACTTATGTCTTAAAATTCAACTCCTTAGAATTTTGAGTGATAAGAAATGACAGGACAGAAGAAATATTTTGGTGTTAAATTACACTTAAGGAAGTTATATATATTTTTACTCCTTCCTTCAAAATAATAGACTACAAAAAGGTAGTTGAGCATTGCTTGTCACTTTCAACCCTAGAGTTGAACTGATGAGCAATCTCTGTGGTAACCTTTTTTTAAAAAGAGCTAACTCCAGACTTCTACAATGTCCCTGTCATAAGCTTATAAAAAGAGATCTCCAGTAAGTTTAATTGGAATGTCATTGAGTCTTATTGTTAGCACACATATGTTAACACATCTGGCAAAACTGTGGGAAAGCTATCAGGAAGACCTGAGTTCTAGTCCTACTGCCTCCACTCGTCCATATTGTTTTAAGTGTGTCTTCATCTCTTTGTGACTCACTTGCGTCATTTTTAAAGTGGGTATAACACCTGATCTTCCTACTGTTTAGGACTATTCCAAGAATAGAAGAAGAATCTGTACATAAAAAAGTCCTTACAAATGGAAAAGTGCTATTTAACTCCAAATATTATCAGTATTATTTCTGCTATGACTATTTTTACTATTTCTGACCTTGATCATGGGGCAATGTGTACAGCACAGGCATAATGTGCAAATGGGAAATAGAGATGTTTATCCCAATAATTCAAGACCCCCCAAGCCCAGATTACCTCTATTATTCAAATCTCAATTTATTAAGATTTAAATCCTCATGCTTATATTGGAAGGGCCTTGAGACAGCTTACAGGATAAAACAGTGCAAAATAAACAGGAGAGAAGCTATTTAAACATTCAGGAGGCCTTTGAGACAGCCGATTGCTACAACCAGGCCTGAATCAGCCCTAAGGCTTTTTGAGGCTGAGTCAAAAAATAAAATCCACAAATTGGGTTAGCTTTCCTTTCATTAAATTAGAAAATACAATGTTGTAAAATACCTATAGACACAAATGACTACTGAGAGACTTCAAGGAAATTAACCTCATAATTTCCTTAATTCTTCATTTTACTGTTAGTCATGGTAACATCTGCTAATTTGTACATGTACAGATGCTTCATGTTGATCCCATCTTAGCAAAGCTTGAGATTTCTGCATACTACAGAACCATCTATGCCCTTTACTTCCAAAATCTGCCCTCCCTCAAAATTAGGTGACTAAATAAATAAATTAAGCAAAATGAGAGGCCAGGCATAGTGGTGTGTCCCTGTAGTCCCAGCTACTCAGGGAAGACTGATGCAGGTTTATCACTTGAGTCCAGGAGTTCAAGGTTACAGTGAGCTATGATCACACCACTGGACTCCAGCCTGGGCAATGGAGTGAGACCCTCTCTCCAAAAAAGTAAATAAAAATAATGAAAAACAAAACAAAATGAAATAATCTGTCTGGCCTATGCCGTCCCAGGTTATAAGGTGAGAGTGAGCGGCCCGTGGCCACTGTCATCGCATTGATTTTTGGAGCTGGTTTGGCTGACGTGGCCCGGTAGCCATTGCCTTTCACCCTCACCCTGTCTGTGTTCTGCCTCCCAAATCTGTGTCCCTGGTAGACATGCCATGGCCTTTCTCAATAGAGGGTTTACAGACTGCAGTGCTTGCCTGCTGGGAGTTGCGGTGCTTTTTGTGCATTGCATATCACCTGGGTGTCTTCTTAAACGGACAGGGTTCTAGGCAGCATCCCGGATACCAGTTCGCTACTTGTCCCTTCATTCTGCCCAAAAAACTGATCACTTCCTCTGGGTCTGTCAGTAAGGCAAGTGATTATCTAGTAATTGATGGAAGTGATTATCAAGGAATCGAGTCTGGGAAAAGGACAAGGTAGGGGTAGGGGCTACTTCATATAAAATACCCCAACAATTTGGAAGATTAATTAACAACATGCTATTGAGTAAAACCTAAGCTGACTGAGTACCACTGTTCACATAGGCAAAAACAATGTGAATTTTCTTTTTACCCTTAATATTTATGATGACAAAAATAAAAGCAATAAGAAAACAAAAGGTATCCATTATTCCAAAGTTGTCATTTTTCTAGATTCCCTTCCAGATCTTGTCCGCAGACCTCTTCAGTGCCAAAGTGATTTTCAGTTATCTGTGGCTCTGTTCCTCTGCTCTGTTGACTTTATCCAACGAAAACCACAAAACAAATAAAACATAATTTTGTTAACAGATTGGGCCTATGCCTAGCCAGGGACTTGAACAATGTTATATGTTTATATTTGATACATATGCTATTTGTTCTCCATTATAATTTCCCTCTGCTATAACACTTTTATTCCTAATTATAAAAATAGAAGTCAGACTTCTATTTTTGCCATTTTATGTTAATTATTTATCATGTTCTAACCAGGTAAAGGTGTTTCTATCATGATCAATTGTAAATAATTTGCTGTGATAGTGTAATTAAACATAAGAAAAATTTCACATTAGACATATCAAATAGATACCTAATGAGAGAAAAAAGGTGATCAGTCATCTTCTGAGCTAATCATTTTGTGAATGTATTTTAAACTGCATTTTTAAATTAACAACCTGAAACCGTAAGAAATTAGAGGACCTGTTTAATTGCTGAAATAATGATTTTGGCACATAGTTGCTAAGCATTGCACATGAACAGCAAAAATGGTAGAAGCTTTGGTAGCTTTTTCTGTCGTTTCTGGCTGTTCCTGGCTCATCTTCTCCCCATCCCCTTTGCTGTCTGTAGAGAGACAGCAGGTGCCATGCTTCTGCTCTGACTCTGGAACCAGACTGCCCAAGTTCAAATCCCAGCACTGCTATTTACCAGCTTGAGCACCTATACCACCGCTCTGTGCCTCAGTTCCCCCATCTGTAAAATGAGGACTGTAATTTTAATAACTTCATAGGGTTGTCATATGCATTTAAGGAAAATACCTGAAAGAATGCCAGATGCATCAAAGCACTTACTAAGTGTTAGCTGTTGTTATCACTGTTACTACTAGGCAGACTTCTTGGTGGCTTGGTAATGCTGCTCTGTATAGTCAGATATTATTTCTGGGACATCTATGGGTGTAGTCTTGATTGTTGTGACCATTTGCAATATGTTACGTAGAATCTGTCAATAAAAAAGAATACTAAGAGCACTCCCTTGGGCCCAAGCACTATGTAAGCACTGTAAGGGATCCAAAGGGAAGACCGAATCTTTCCCTCAAGCAGTTTATGGTCTAGTTGTAGAGATGAGGCCTGTGTAGGGAAAGCTAAATAGCAATGCAAGAACTAACTATAGCGTAAGGCCACAATCTATGATATACATAAGAAGCACATATAAGCACATATAGGCTGGGCACAGTGGCTCACACCTGTAGTCCCAGCACTTTGGGAGGCTCAGGTGGGAGGAATATGTGAGCACAGGAGTTCAAGACCAGCCTGAGCAATACAGCAAGACTCCGTCTCAACAAAAAAATTAAAAATAAAAAAAATTGACCAGGCATGGTGGTGTTTGCCTGAAGTCCCAACTACTCGGAAGTCTGAAGCAGGAGGATTGCTTAAGCCCAGGAGTTCAAGGCCACAGTGAGCTATGATGGCGCCACTGCATTCCGGCCTGGCAACAGAGCAAGACCCCTGTCTCAAAAAAAAGAAAAAAGAAACACATATCCACTAGGCAGCATACCTCGGTAGTCTAGAGGAGAGTTGGCCTAGCAAGGTTTCACTGAGGAGGAACCAGCCGTGGGCTGGAGCTGAGGAAGGATTTTCCCAGAGAAGGTGGCTGGGAGGGCATTCTGTGCTGAGGAAGTTGGGAGAACAAGGAGTGGCAGAGGCAAAAGCCCAGAACTAGGGCAGTCTTGGTGGTATTAAGGGGACAGCACATAACTCAGTTTGATTGAAGCACAGGGTCACTTTCTGTGGCTAGTGGAAGATGAGGGTAGACAAGCACACCATCCTCAAATTTTTAAGGACTCCATTATGCCAAGGTTTTAATTATAAACGTATTTCACTTGTTCTCTTGAAAGAATCAGGGAACAATGTATTGGCACTGCTTCAGCCTGAATATTGCATTTCCGAAGAACATATGTTAGAATCCAGGCCTGCAAGGTTTTTAGTTCTGTTCCTAGAGACATTTCTGAGCTCTTGGAAAAGAATTTAGTTTCAGCCTTGGGTGAGCATGATGAGGGGGCATAACGTGCACTGGGGCAGGCCTGCCAGGGAGGAGGGGCAGGTCGTGCCCCATGCCAGCAGAGGAAAAGGCCATAGTAACACTAGAGGCTGTAGATGTTAAAGTTCAATCTTCAAAGTGAATAAAAATATGAAGTGTTAGGAGGAAAATAATCATTGGTTAAGGTTTGCTTTTGAGAAATCATCTTGTTTGCCATTCAACTTCTGTTCCTAATTTCATCATGAGATACAGTGGTTGCTCAGATGATGAGGATGAACATTTGATCTCAAGACACACATACACAGACACGCACATACATTTTTTAATCCATATCCTTTTAGACATTTTGGCTATACAATTTTAACTGCAAGTTTTTTTAATGATAATGCACAGTCCAGTATTGGGGTTCGTGAATTGGTTTCTGATTACATTTAAATCCTTTTCCTCTTGATAAGACTAAGAATAAAGTGGCATTCATTTGTCCAATATACAGTCATCAGTCAATACATTTAAGATGATGTCTTATTCAAAGCTTCCTCTTCTACCCAGTAAAGATAATTTGAGATAATGTCTCTGCATTAACAAATATATTTTGTTAAACAATAAAAAAGCCTTTCAAAAATATCTAGAGTGTATAAGTGACACCTTCCCCCACTGAAGCAGTTAAAGCCATTTCTGGAGCTTTTTATGTTTAGGTTAAAAAGCAGCTTTTATGAATGTTCCTTTTAGGCCCAAATTGTCTTTTAGAGGATTCTAATATTTTTATCTCGGTTGTGAAATGTCGCTAGCCGTGAACTAATTCTGTCCACTTTTCACCATTGATACATTCATGCTCAACATTTTTATTTCAACACTTTTTAATACGTGGCCCCAGTATTAGAGCTAGGCATTTAAAATGAAAATTCGACTTGGGGAAGGACAAGCTGTTATTGCATCCTTACGACGCCTGAGTTTCGGTTCAGTTATACACAGGTGGTAAGCGAAAATTGTTGTTTAGCTAAATCTTCCAGTCCTGTGATGAAATGTGCAAGTGGCAGGGTTATGTTAAACCCCAATTTGCATCACGATGATTCAGATTTTTTTTTATTTGTTTGTTTAGATCTTAATCATGTCTCAGTAACTGCTGCCCTTCCTCAGCTCACAGAAAACCCCGGGCTCGAGGCCATGTTGTAGATGGGGCCCTGACACAGCACCTGGCTTGGGGCAGGTCCCACGTGTGTGCTAGGGAATAACCATTGCTGAATGTCTTCACTTGGATTGGATCTGAGTATGGCAAAGCACAGTCAAAAGCAGACATCGACACTTACCAAATACAACACGTGTGCCGCTTTAATCAGAGACCACTTGCGCATACAATTCTGCAGGCAGGCCAGGCACTATTGAACAAAAACGTAGCTCAGGAAATCTGAATTTCTGTGATTTATTGCTGCCACATGTATGAGTGTAGGGCTGGACCAGCTAACTTTTGTGAATGAGGCTGCCTACCCTTTCTAAAGAACAACTTTTTTTCCTCATATGCGTCTTTGAGCACTTTTATTTCTGCCCCCCACCCAACTTTAATTTTATAATTTCATCTGCTTGATTTTAATACATGCGTGACCTGTGTTTACCCCTCAATGAAATGAAGTTATCCTCTTTTTCCCCCCCAGCCAGAGAGTTAACTTTTGTCCCACGTTGATCCAAAGATATTTCTTCCTTCTCACCCCCATGCTTCTGAACATTCTCAACAGGAAGTTGCCAAGATAAATAAAATTGTAACATAGTACATGCTTTCACATAGAAGATTCTCCGCTATTCTTATCTCCATTTTTCTTAGTCTCAGACATAAAATGAAAGGTGGACATACACCCACCTCAGCAGTCCCCCAAGTTCCCAATTTTTAGTTGTATTGGAAAATACAATAATTTGGGCAGGCAGATGAGCATTCATAATAAATCACAGAGTTATGAAGAAATCTTGGTTGTCAAAAGCAAGTGTGTAGCCGTTCCAAAGCGTCTGCCATTAGAATTCAGCAAGGCAGCTGTCAGCTGTTTTCTTGTAATTAAACAGCCAATGAGCAGCTAATTAAGACATATGTGTATACAGAAGTGGAAGTGGGTATGTTAATGAACTGTAGGAATCAATTCATTAAGTGAAAATTGTCAAAAGACCAAACATCAGATCAGCATTTCAGCCTGTGTTTCACTGAGAAAGAGCCCCACGCAGGAGGGGACAACTCAGAATCAGACCCCCGTTCACCTTCCCAGCCATACCTACAGGGCAGCGTCCAACCAGTCCATACTCTTAGACAAAACTATTAAAAACTCCAGTAGGAAGTGCCAGGCATATTTCCAGGCTTTTAAAATATATCTAACAAATGAGTGCTTTCCTACCTGTATGGAAACCTGGTATTTGATACCCTATAAAATGCCGTCTCCCTCATCCGAACCGTTGCAGGGAACTTGGGCTACAGAAATGAAAAGTGGTTTTTTGCTTGTTTGTTTTGTTGTTTGCTCATCTTTTGTTGTTGTTGTTATTCAGTCGGCCCTACATGTTTGTCTTGGTGCTTTTTAGGTGGTATATTAAGAAGTCTATGGCCTTTGGAATAAGATGCACCTAGGATTCAGGAATTCAAATCCTGGGCCTTCCCCTCACCTGCTCTGTGACTTTGGGCATATGGCTTAACCTCTCTTAACTTTCTCATTTGTAAAGCAGAGATACATATCCCTACTTTGCAGTTGTAGGCTGCTGTGGATTGCAAATAATGATGGCAAAGTGTCCGACATGGTGCCTAGTGGGGAGTAGGTGCTCAGCATATCGTCACCACTGTTTTTATCACTGCCACCGTTTTTTCCTCTAGTTGTTCATTCAACAAGTATTTGTGACTTCTCTAAGTATTGCGTTAGCTACTGGAAACAAAGAAACAAGGCAGTCAGTCCCTGGAAAAGGTAGACATTAATAATACAACAAGGTAAGGGCTAGGAGGGGGATAAATTCAGGACTCTTAAGGGTACACATGGGAGGGGCCCCTCAACCAGCTTTGGGAGGGCCAAGGTCAGAGAAGGTTCCCAGAACAAGTGAATGTCTTCTCAGTGAATCCTGAAGGGAAGGAGAGAGTTTCTTTGGGGAACTGTGAACACAGCAGTTTAGGCTTGGTCATTGTATGACTTTGAGAAGAGCTGCCTGGACGTGTGGTCATTGTCTGGTCATCAGCAGGGAGCCATTAAGGGCTCATAAGCAGAGAAGTGACTTGATGAGTGTGGTGTTTTAGGAAGATATCTTTAGTAACTGTGAAATGGATTGGAGGGAATGAGAATGGAAGCAGGGGTCCCAATTAGGAGGCTGTATAACAACCAACTCAAGAAGTGAAAGACATGGAAACTTAAGAAAACTGCAGTAAAGTTGGAGACAAGTAGATGGATCTGAGAAACAGGAAGGTGCCAAGAAGCAGGCGAATTTGGTGACGCTTGGATATGGATGGGGAGGAGGCAGAGATTAAGGCAGTGAAGCCCATCTTTCTGCCTTGAGTAACTGAGGGTAAGATAATCCATGTCACTGAGCAAGAAAACACTGGAGAGGACAGCTGGGAAACAGGCTGTGGGTCAAGATATATTCTCTTCTAGATCGGGTGCAATGGCTCATGCCTGTAATCCCAGCACTGTGGGAGGCCTAGGCAGGAGGATCACTTAAAGCCAGGAGTTTAAGACCAGTCTGGGCAACAAAGCGAGACCCTGTCTCCTCTACAAAAAAATTTAGAAATTAGCTAGGCATGATAGCATACAACGGTGGTCCCAGCTACTGAGAAGGCTGAGGTGGGAGGATTACTTGAGCCCAGGAAGTCGAGGCTGCAGTGAGCTGTGATAGCAGCACTGTACTCCAGCCTGAGTGACAGAGACCCTGTCTCTAAATATATATATTCTGTTCCAGAAACAAACAAAAAAAAACTCAGCTAAAGTGTTTAGAACTTATGTAGGTAAGGGGAA